ACATTAATTATTAAAACAAAACTTCTGTCGTAAACAAAAAAGTTGAAATAAAAAAAACGACGAGTCGCACTCCGGGAGTGCCGGCAGAAGTGAAAACTTGAATATTAACGTTGTTAATTTTTGATATTTTGGAAGGGAATAATTTTGCACAAATTGCTTTAATTATCAGTATAAAAGTACTATCATTTATGTGGTAGAATACAATAGATATTTATTGCGCTATCGTACACAAACATGACAATTTATATTACATTAAAAAGATTATCTCTCAGAAAAATCAACTTACATGAATCACATTTAAGCGCGCCTAGCGACATCTATTGTAAAAAAATGCATATTCTTATCAATAAAGCTGCCACCTGGATGTCCTAATTAGAGACTTATTATTAGAATAAGATAAAATAAAATATTACTATGTTTCGTCCAATATATTGAAAGTCAACAACCTTTCCAATTTTATTGTTTTCGTCTTAAGAATTTGCGATTAGGTCACGCTTCGGCCACGTGTCCTGACGCGAGTTTAACAATTTTTACCCATCCAAAAAAAGTGTATAACGCCGCTAAAGAAGTTTTCACTTCAAAAAGAACTTAGTTATAATTCAATATCTGCTCTTGGCAGGGGCGAACCTGTCCAATGGCAAAGACCTCATCCACTTTTGTAGAGGACAATAAGTTTTCTTCAAATCGCTTTTCAACAGTATTATTCTATTCATTAATGTCTCATATAAACATACAAGAAAAGGTGAACGACCCAAAATTTTACGAAAGTCCCTGCGTTCGCTACCCGATACATTATGCTAATTGAATGCTACAGTTTACAGGAGGGCTCTGCGAGGTCAACCATACCACATGATTAAAGCAAGCTCGGAGGTAAAGCTTCGTGCCCTGCGCTTGTGTGAGTGAGCTCTGACGGTCTGTCGTTTCCAATAGAATCGTTTCTGTGCTTATACGACGCATAGAGCATCACGGAAGGGAGTAGCCGTAGCGATTCAAATCATTCTGTCGTTTTTGGCGGGTGGGAATTTGCACACAAACGCAGTTTAACACGTACATGCGTATAAAACAAAATTGTAACTACGAAACTCACACATAAACAATACATACATCACCAAATCCTGCACGTCCTGTATGTCATTTGTATGTCCAACTCGAAATAAGGGAAAGCTGCATATGCCTACTTCTCTCCCAGCTGAGACGGCTGTGTTGCTCTATGACGACAGGCCACCAGTGCTCATCACACACGCGCAATTGTATGAAGCTCTGCCTTTCTGCCTTCTTTACTCATGTGCCTATACCCACTGGCGGGCTAATTATGGCTCAGGCAAACATTTAACAAAGCCCGTTCTGTTTTACAATAGCTTGCTGTTTTTAATTAAAACTACACCCCATCCCTAACAGCGCTGCATAAGCGGGCGTGCCTGTATAAGCAAATTAAAAGGTGAAAATTAGCTTAAAAGCTCAGCGCTTTTATAGCTGCAAGTGAATTTATGACTAGACACGATTCTACTAAATGTTGTTTGTTTGGGGAAAATGTAAAGAAAGGCAAAAAAGTTTACAATAAAGAGAGGAGACATAGGTTCATACGAGATAAGAAAATCTACTTTCATGGAAAAGAATCAGAGAAATATTAAAAGAAGCTATTGTAGGTATAACAGTCACTAACCTATACGATATTTTTAAATTTTCACCACGGGAGATGAAAGCGCCAATAAATAAAAAACAAATAAAAAAGAATGTATCAAAACACAGATTGAATATCAACATTCGCATATCGGGGGAACATTGTCGGGAATTTCATATTTTGCTTAACCGCTTCCCGCATGGCATAGCGCAGGTTTAATTTTATATTTAATTAAATTCCGCTACGGTCTGTTTTCATGGCGATGGAATACGGTGCGCACCGCAACGACGAAGTCAATAATAGCCAAAATACTCGAATCTCCCGTCAATTCGTACATAAACTCGTTACTGTAGAGACTCGAGTTTAGGAATGTCTATAATATAACCTATTATTGGGGATATGAATGTATTTCACAGTGGGAGTTGAAATTTGATAACCGCCGAGTTTGACAACAATTTTGACCTAGTTGTTTGTTGTGCGAAAGTGCTCTAGGAACTTGAGAATACTGAGGGTTTGTTTCATATATCTTTCTACATCCAATGACATTCTTTTATTATATACTAGCGGCCTGCCCTCGCTTCGCTTCGGTGTAGGGCTGAAGTGTAGACTACAGTTTTTGTTCTCAGGCTTGTATTATACACAATGACATTAATCTATGATTCTTCTTATACCTGCATGCAAAGTCTCAGCCCGATCGGTTTAAAATTGACAAAGTTTCATACAAACTTTCATTCCCCATTTTATCCCCTTGGGGATAGAATTGATCAAAATCCTTTCTTAGCGGATGCCTACGTCATATCATCTACCTACATGCCAAATTTCAGCCCGATCCGTCTAGTGGTTTGGGCTGTGCGTTGATAGATCACTATGTCAGTCAGTCACCTTTGAGTTTTATATATAATCTACATCAAATGTTATATTGACACTTACAACAGGTTGTTGTCACAGAGCCTTCAAAAGGATCATAAATTTAATAAAGATTCTATTGAACACCCTTGTAAAATAATTTACCAAAAATATTCAAAGGTGTGTCCAAATACAGCGAGTTATATACGCAGCGAATCAGAACTCTGCTTTTATGCAGCATTCCGATGCGACATATGAAGCCACAGGCTGATTAAACCTACCGCGTCAAAAAGAAATGGGTTTCACTCAATTTTTATATTACTTAATTAAGTTTTATAATAAAGTAATATAAAAACAGCATTTAACTGTTACATTTTTAAAAGCTTAACTGAAAATACGGGTTCGAGTCCCGTCTGCTGCTTGGACCACGTGGATTTTTTTCTAGTAAAATTTTCTTTTATTTATTATTTCAATGACGTAAAATACCATAGATAGAGTCCTCAGGATGGTAGGCATAAGTAATTCGTACAAACTAAGTCTTATGTGTTTCTTATTTTTGTGGGAATGTTGAGCAGTCTGGTTTTTTTTTTTATATTTTCCAACACTCACGCTAAATTAGCCTAGCCCCAAACAGTGTTACCAACCCTTACCAAGATTTTCCTCTAAGTATTTTTTAAATTCCCCTAAAATCCCCTAAATATAGAATTTTATATGTATCTACTTATTACCTAGTAGTCTTGGGGAGTATAGAGTAGTAATATCTAATGCCGCTTCCTATATACTAAATATAAAATTTATTGTAACTATATATCTATATCCTTAATAATGTAATGGAAGGTGACTTCAGATGTATCTCTGAAATCATTTTTCAACTTGACGACTCTGTATATATCAATACAGGGAGAAAAAAGCAGCCCTTGCTGAGTTTCTTGCCGGTTCTTCTCAGTACAAGGTCTCCCGCCGTAGTTTTGCGAACCGATGGCGTAGCTTCTTGACCTTCACAAGTGCTTGTAACAGCCTAGACTGAATAAATGACTTTTCATTTCATTTCATTTCATTTCATTTCATTTCATTTCATTTCATTTCATTTCATTTCATTTCATTTCATTTCATTTCATTTCATTTCATTTCATTTCATTTCATTTCATTTCATTTCATTTCATTTCATTTCATTTCATTTCATTTCATTTCATTTCATTTCATTTCATTTCACTTCATTTCATTTCATTTCAGTACTTTAATACTACATGGTAACTAGGGTCTGATGATGGAGTTGGAAGGTGGTCATAGACCCTCCGTAATTAAACGACGCAATCCCATCGAGTTTGGGCTCGTCTGATTCCTTGACAAGTATTTTAGTTGGCTTGAATATGCAACTCCGACAAATTTGGGAAAAAAGTTCGTTCCGTTTGTTATGAATGTGGATATTGTCCGAAGTTTTGTTAAAAGCAGGGGCTTTTTTTGGGGGTTCTTTTAGGGAAAAGAACCCCCAAAAAATTGCAGCCCCTAAAAAAGACCGTTTTAACACTTCCAGCCCCTAAAGCTGGGGGCAAAACCCCTAAGTTGGGAACCGTGGCCCCAAAGTAAGCACTGTAAGGCTTGTATTATGGGATACTAGGGTAACGATAGAATACATAAACTGTACATATATAAATATATTTATATAGAAATACATATTAAACATCCATGACTGGAGTACACATGGTCGTACTTATCACACAAACATCTGCCCCCACCGGGATTCGAACCCGGGACCTCTCGAGTCGGTGACTGCATGAAACCTGGCGTACAAACCACTCGACCACGACGGTCGACAAAATTTGCAAGGTCAGTTATAATCATGGAGAAAATTTTGCTCTTTGGTTATAACTGTACTATCCATTTTTCTACATGTCTACTATCTTAACCGTTTCTTTATAAAATGACACGAAATAAGCCAAGCTTTTACTTCTTTTCTTCTTATTTCTGAGCTAGTTTTCTTCCCTTGTTTAAGGTCCTTGCTGGTTCGTCTCGTCTCTGGTTAGCCTTTGCCGTAAATTTTCAAACGGATGTCTAAAGCTTTCCGACAATAGGGATGATGACTTTTTTTTTCTTCGTTTATCAGGTAGATTATCAAAAAGTATTGGACACGTATTTTTTCTTTTTTCACATAATATAAACATTGCAGAGATATATTGATTTGAAAAGTCACATGACGTCACGTTTGAGTATACTTATAAGTGAAAATTCACTCAAAAGTGACGTCATGAGCCCCTACTCCCAAACTTTGTCATTTTTTGGTTGATTGCCCAAAAAAAAAATACGTGTCCATTATTTTTTGATCATCTAACTGACAGACTAAATAGAATTTCGTTTACTGTACCCCATCATCAGCCCTATTTTACAAGAGTTCTTAAGAGTCCAGTCAGAACAAAAATAGATTAGAAAAAAAAATAGAATTCGCCGAAACAACCTGTTCTGCAGTAGTTGGAATGAACGATGCGCAGAATAAGTCGAATAACTTCATATCATAGTTACAACAAAAAATACGCACCGAAACTGGTCTCTTGCATTCAAGGTCTCCTGTTTGATGGACAGTATGACGGGGCCAAGGTCCTCGTCGTTCGTGAAGTAGTTCCAGTGCTCTGTGCCGTAGAAGTATTTCTCATAAGTCTCCTGTTCCACCGACGTGAGCTCGAACCCTCCTGATCGCTCCCATTGCTCTTCTATGGCTGTTTTCTTCTTCGGCGTGCTGCCTCCGTTGTCGCTGCTGTCCTCTGCCGCCTCGTCCAGCGAGCCCGACCTTCGATGCCGATCTGGTAACAAAAAGACAAATGAAGACGACATTCTTGTTTTGAATTTGTCATAGACTTATTGATGAGTTAAATTCCTGCTTATCTCTTATCTATAAGACAAGTCAGTCTGTATGTGGTGCTGTTTCAGCGGCCAAACCGTAAGAGATAGATAAAGAGAATATTTAAGTTATAAGTAAAGAATAGTCTGATAAGACTACAAACCAGATTTGAGTAACGTAGCACTTCCGGTTTTCGAGAAATCAGGTTTTGGTGAACATTTGGTTCACTGGTTTGCTAGTACATATTATAAACGTGAAGGGGTTGTTTTTAAAAGGTTAGATATGAGCAGACGGCTCAAACAAAGTTTGTATGTTTTTTAACCGTCACACGAAAACGAAAAAATGAAAAAACGGTTTGGATGAAATTTGACATTAAATTATTTTATTTTACCAAGATTGAGTAAAATTCCTTAAAGCTCTTCTCAAAAACCTAAAGTTAACGCGAACGAAGTCACGGGTGGCCGTTGGTTTTATCATAATTTGTTCCCAAGTTATGCAGAGCTTACAGTATGAAAATTCAAGCAACATGGGAACCAGGATCGAACTCCCGGATTAATACTGCCTTTAAAAGAATTATAACTCCCTATAGGTACATAGAAAGTAATTGTTTTTGTATAGGTAGTTGGCTTAAATGTTATTAATTCGAATGTATTATAATTACTTAAGTGATAAACGAATTGGTCAAAGTTAAGTTTATTTGTAAGAGATGTCTGTGTGACTCAGAATAAAACATAAATCACCAACCGCACTTCCGTCTTCCCAAAATTCACCAATCGACAACGGGCGGTAATAAGAAGTAAGTACATTTATATAGAAAACAGGTTATAATATTACTCCATACCGAATAAAACCGGTGTAGAGTCTCAGTTTTTAATAATGTTCGTCTTTTTAACGGTAAGACAGAGCGTCCCTTTACATAGAAAGATCTATATCATATCATCATCTCATCATCTCATCATCATCATCATCATCATCATCATCATCATCATCATCAGCCTATTGATGTCCCCACTGCTGGGGCACAGGCCTGCCCTATCGATGGAATAGGGAGATTGGGCCATGACCCAACCACGCGGGCCCAATGCGGATTGGTGGGTGCTAACGACTGCAGATGCAGCCGGGACCAACGGCTTAACGTACCTTCCGAAGTACGAAGGAGCTCGAGATAGTAAACTTTTGGTCACCCATCCAATGACCGACCACTGCAAAAGTTGCTTAACTTTAACGATCGCAGCCGAACGCACTAACCAACTGCGCCATCGAGCTCCTCAAAAGAAAGATCTATATAAAGTGGTCCAATTATATTACTTTTTACTGACCCAAATTCTACAGCAGTAAGCTAACCAGTAAAAAGTCCTAGGTTGAACTTCTATGTCAGCAGAAAATTAGTTTTATAAGATGAAAGATGGATAACCACTTTACTATTCCAAAGTCGAAAAGCTACGTTTTGAGCAGAAATGCCAAGAAACTGAGAAATTGCAGGTTTTATTTCACTGAAACGAGATTTTTTTTGTGAAAATTTTATTGGAACAGCAAATTTAACAAAGTGTTTTAGATAAAAAGATCATGATTGAAGCCGGCCGGAAATTTTCACTTTATCGATATTTTCCCGGTAATTGGGTAGGTGGGTAAATTTTCCATCCAACATGATGTTAAACGCATGAAACTATACCATGTTCAGACGTGAAGATAATAATAAGCTGTTTAATATATAGCAGTTTTACCTGCTACACTAGCAATTCTCACCTTGCTGGCCTGCACAAGAAGTTCTTTGCACCTATTATATAGGACCACGGGTTATAGAAGAGGAAATGAATACGTGCGCGGGAAAAGAATTCGAGGAACTCGATGGCACAGGTGGTAAGCGCATTCAGCCTTTTTTTTAACGCAGGTAAAAAATGCTGTTTACAGACGACGGCGCCTTTAAGAGGCACACCGCCGAACGGACCTCACACCTGACGGTCTTACGAATCTCCCAGTGGCTGCCCACCGGGGACCCCGCAACTCTTACGGCCGCTTTACGGCATAATATCCGCTAAAAAGTCCTGCGAATACCTTCTACACTGCTAAGCGCATTCGGCCTGCGATCGTGAAAGTTAAGAAACTTTCGCAATGGCTGGTCATTAGATGGGTGACCAAATACTTATAACTTAGCTCCTCCGTGGTTCGAAAGGCTCGTTGGGCCCGTTTGCATCTGCAGGCGTTAACACACATCATTCTGCATTGGACCAGAGTGGTGGGTCACGGCCCAGTCTCCCTATTCCATCCATAGCGAAGGCCTGTGCCCCTGCAGTGGGGACTTTAATAGCCTGGTGATGATGATGATGAGGAAAAGCATCCTACTTGCCAATAGTATGACAAAGAAACGAGTCACCTTATTTCTGTCTTGGCGTTCGAATATTTTTTTTTTCTTACAGCGACCACAGAAATGTATATTCTGAAAGTTTCAAATGCGTAGATACCTTTTATATTTCAGGATTGAAAGTTTGTGATGCTGTCAGAATAATGGATATATTGAGGAGGCTTAGTAATAGGAATCCAATTGCAACTTTTGAGAACAAAACCCTAAAGCGATTTCAAAGCATTTTATTTTCTTATATTTTTAAGTATTTAACTGCTAGATGTAGAAATCTAAAGAAAATTTGACAAAAAAAACCACTCGATATGGCTTTCAGACGGGATCCGGTATGATATTTGTCAGCTCTGCACAATCGAATATGCTGTTTATTGTTTCTAAATATAATGACAGTGCTTTTTGTATATAAAAACAAATTTTATAAATATTTCTAACACACACCAATTAGCCTAAACTCAAAGCAAGCACTGTAAGGCTTCTGTTATAGAATGCTAGGGTAATGAATAGAACTATATGTCTTGTCTCGACACAATGGAGCCAAATAAATCTATTCTTTAGATTAATACTAACTTTTTTAATGCTATTTTGTAAGTAAGAAAAAATTATATTAAAGCAGCCTTGACAACGGCTAACAGAACAGGAAAAAACATTGACAAATTAAAAAAGAGTAAAACATGCGATGAAGAAGAAGCTCGATGGTGCAGGTGGTTAGCGCGTTCGGCTGCAAACGTTGAAGTTAAGCAACTTTCGCAGTGGTCGGTCATTGGATGGGTGACCAAAAATTTACTATCTCGAGCTCCTCCGTGCTTCCGAAGGCACGTTAAGCCGTTGGCCCCCGCTGCATATGTAGTCGTTAACACCCACCAATCCGGACTGGGCCCGCGTGGTGGGTCATGACCCAATCTCCCTATTCCAACCATAGGGAAGGCCTGTGTCCCAGCAGTGGGGACATTAATAGGCTGATGATGATGAAAACATGCGTAGGACCTTCCTTTATACAAAATAATAATCCTCATCAATGAAGGCGACGCACGAGCCGTAACACTATATATAATTATACATAGACTACTAGTATACATTTTTATTAAAATACATTACCCGGTGCCAGACCACGTCTCAAATAAAACACCTCGGTGTCTTTATGCCAGAACGCTTAACTTAACGGCGGAGAAACGCCGAGCCCGTCATTTCAATTTATACAATGGTTTATGCGTGAAACGCGCAAAGGCATACAGATTTGAGGGAAATCCATGTGAATCGAGACGTTATGAAGATCGCATTTCCTCCGATTTATGTCGTATAATAATATATTGACGTGCGTTCTTGAACCGAGTGGTTGGTGGATGACAGTGTGTATTCGCAGTATGTGTGGTCTCTACTTCGATTCCCGAATTGGATACGGATGAAGAAACCAACTCATACGCAAAAGGTTAAGTGATAGGGTTCCTTCGTCATCCTTTGTGTAGGGAGCCCTAATAATAATTGTCCTGTTATCACCTCTGAGATTTAATTTTCTTTTTGTAGTACCCTCAGTACGACCAGCTGGTCCCCACACAGTTTAGAGCGTAGTAAAAAAAATAGGGGAGGTATCCCTTCTGTTCATCACACTCTGCCGCCGCTGCTCGTCAATTCGATGTTCAAACATTTTAGAGAATAAGAGACAACATTTCCCATTTATCGAGGGAGCAAATGTTTGCTAGTTCAGAACTGTTCTGAGCTTAAGTGGAAAAGCAGCATAACTTCAGAACCACCATAAAATTTAGATCTCACTATAGCACCACCTTCCCTTTCCTTCAGAGGACCACGCGCGCTGGCCTACGTTGTCACCGTCTAACTGTGGCCACAATTCCAACGCGTACAAAGAAATTTGGTGACTAATTTCTTTGTCACACCATCCGTAAATGGAATGCTCTGCCCGCTCACGTGTTCCTTCCCTCTTATGGGATCCTTTAAAAGAGGCGTGAAGAAGCAACATGCAAGCCGGCAGGGTGAGGATGGCTGGTGTGGTAGGTAAAACTGCTGTATCAGCTATCTTCACGTCTGGACTCCTTCACTTAACATCAGGTGGGGTGGAGTCATTTGTCGGACCTATCTATAAAAAAAAAATAGCAGACCAGATCTGGATATTCTGAATATATTGGTCGTAAAAGAAAAAAAGATTACATTTCAGACAACAATGATTTTATCCGTACATAGATACGTTCTGTATTGATTATGCATTTGCAAGGTAATTGGCTCGAATTTCGTAAGTCACGCACAGTTCATTCAGTATCGCTGCTATGGCTTCCTTCTTGTTAACGGTAATAAATTACTTTTATTGAAAGAATAAATACTTTTTTATTCTAAGGGGTTGTATAAATTATAAACGACAATTGGGAATAACAAGTGTTTGAAGGATGTATTATATTATAGCAAGTCTATAATTTTATATTTATGTATATGTTTTAGAAACTCGGTCCGGGGTCCGTTAAAAGATTGTAAGTTTTCGATTTTTTGTTAACAAACAAGAGTCTGAATTAGGGAATTTAATTAAATCGTTTCAAACCTTTTCAGGCCAAGAAATCTAATGCGACCATGAATGGGCTTAACTTAGGAGTGGATAAAAC